AAAAATCTGAGTTGAACTAGGTTGGTATTGAAACTTCGACCCTTTCTGTTCAGCGCGCCTTTGTATACTTGCGTCACCTTAATAGCGAGAAATAACCTTAATAGCGAGAAATAACCTAATTTAGCTAAAAGGAGCAGACCTGAATTAGACTAGCACGACACTGAAACTTCGACTTTTCCTCTTCAGGGCGAATTTGTACACTTGTTTCACCCTAACGACAAAAAGTACATCCTAATTCAGCTAAAAAGTACAGCTCTGAGCTGAACTGGTGTGATATTGAAACTTCAATTCTTCCTTTTCAGCGAATTTATACACTTGTTTCACTCGAACAGCAAAAAGTGCAACTCGATTCAGCTAAAAAGAGCAGACCTAAGCTGGATTAGTGCGACATTGAAACTTCGACTCTTCCTCTTCAGCGTGAATTTGCACACTTGTTTCACCGTAACGACCAAAAGTGCAACTCAATTCAGCTGAAAAAAATAGACCTGAGCTGAACTAGTACGGCACTGAAACTTCGACTCTTTCTCTTCAGCGCGAATTTATACTTGTTTCACCGTAACAGCCAAAAGTACAACCTAATTCAGCTAAAAAGAACAGACCTAAGGTTCGTCCTCAGCTGAATTAGCGCAGCACTGAGAAACTTCGCGGTTCTCATTCTTCTCAGCGCAAATTTACATACTTGTTTCATCATAACGGCAAAAAGTGCAATCCGATTCCGTTAAATAGCCGAAGACAATGACGAGCATACGCGGCGAACTTATCGCGGGGTCGCAGCGGGCCGACGCACAGCGGGGCCAGATGACATTTTTTGATTCAAAATTCTCTAGAGACCTAAATTTCCAACCGATCATCGACACTAATGGATGAGGTTGATCCTGAATAAATTTCGAAGAGATCTGTCTTGCCAAAATTGAAAAAAAAATGTTTTTCTCGAATTACTAGCCCTAAAAGAGGAAAAATTATCGTTAAACGCGAGAAACTTGTGAAATACTCATTATTCGACACTTATTTCTATCTAATAGCGTATTCAGCGGATTGAAACTATGAAACCAATCAACAGACATCTCGAGGTTTATCGATCTCGAAGTAGAAACCCATTAACCCAAAACTCATATGCCCAAAATACAAAAATACATGAAATATAGACCCGTTAAGCACAAAACCGAGGGATTTTGAGTCTTAAGCCCCTCAACCTAGGAATCTATCAATCCGAGGACTTTTTAGCTCGTGGATGCATGAAGCCGTATATATTAAGAGCCCCAAATAGTCCAAGAACCCAATCTAGCCGTAGCTCGAGAACCTAATAATACTCGACGTTGAATATTCAGCTATAAAACATTAAGTTCGAGGCTCGAAACTTTTAAGACAAACCCTAAACCCATGAACCCTGAACCGATAATTTTTTCAAAATTTCGGCTAGGCAGATCTCTTTGGAATTTATTCAGAATTAACTTCATCCATTGGTGTCGAAGATCGGTTGGAAATTCAGGTCTCTAGAGAATTTTCAACCAAAAAATGTCATCTGGCCCCACTGTGCGGCGGCAGGCTCCAATCCTCTCGAAGAGGACACCTCCTCAGCCGTCAGTTACAAGCCGGCTCGTGCAAGACCGTCGCGCGCACGACACGCTTCCGTCCGATCGGGCCGGTGGAAATTCGATATCCCAAGATCGCCGGACCTAATGTCACCGCCGCCGCTCGCCGTCGTGTCACCGGCGGAGCGTAGCGTTTCCCTCGGTTACGCTCTCGCGCTCTGTCACGCAGCCGACATTCGCGCACGCGAATCCGATTCCGTACGCTGCTTCTGCCGGCGGCGCGGCGGGGCGAGAAGAGGAAAGAAAGAAAGGAGAAATCGCGGCTCCCGATGACCGAGCTTCGTCGTCCCGCGAGAGACCAGCGAGGGCTCGCGACCCGGCAAGAATCCGCAAATGTTAGACCTGTTCTGAAGTCGGTTTCGGGAACTTTGGTTTGTCATAAAGTTGGTAGGCCTTAAACTAACCTGTTCCGAAATTGGGTTCGGAAGCCCCGATTTTAAGGTTTGACTTTATATGATTATAAAGTTAGACTTTAAACTGACTTGGATACGTTCCGTAATTGAGCAACTGAGCACATTTGTCGTCACAGCTATGTACTACTTCTGTTCGCAAACTTGGTTTTTGCAATATTAAATAGAGAAATGGATAGATTTTTTATTACTTGTTATTTTAATAATTAATCAGCTGATCAATTATGGAGTATATTTGAACTGGTTTAGGACCTACCAACCTTGTAACTAAAATCAGTTTTCGAGACTGATTTTGGAACAAGCCTTTAGATACGTCCCGTAATTGATCAGATGATCACGTCTGGACGTTCACAGCCATGTGCTATCTCTGTTTACAAACTTAGTCTTGGTCATTAACTTTGTAACATTAGATAGAAAAATAAGTAGATTTTTTATTACTAATTATCTTGATAATCGATCAGCTGATCAATTACGGAATATATCTAAGTTAAATTAGATTTGCCACCCCTATAACTAAAACCAAAGTTCACAGGACCAATTTCGCAGCAGGCTTATCGTCATCGTCAAGTCGCGCGAACGAAGAACGCGCGAGATGAAGCCGAATGTCCTCTCGGGGGCGAAAAGCGCGGAAGTCAGCAGGTGCGATTCGTGCCTCGTTAAAACCCGGTGTACAATAAGCGCGATGAGCCTTCAGCTTTTAGCTCACTCCAAGTCCTAGGATTTCCGGCGAATGACATCTGCCTCGGCAGCTGAACCTGGCGAGCGCGCTTGAAGCTGGAGAATCGCGATTCTAGACGGCTGCGTTCAGTTGCCGAGAATCGACTCGCAGTGTCGAGCGGGAGGTTGGAGGCTTACTGCGCCCATTGTGAATCGGGGCCGGGGTAGGCCGGGGAACCATCGCGCAGTGATGAGGTCCGTTTTTGACTCAAGTAGTGCCGTACTAAAACCTTAAAAGAACATACCAGAGCTGAACTAGTGTGGCACTAAAACGACTCTTCTTCGACTCTTTTTCTTCAGCGCAAATTTGTATACTTGTTTCATCCTAATGGCAAAAAGTGCAATCTAATTCAGCTAAAAGGAACAGACTTGAGTTGAACTAGTACGGCATTGAAACTTGGACTCTTCTTCTTCAACGCAACTTTGTATACTTGTTTCTTCTTACTGGCAAGAAGTGTAACCTAATTCAGCTAAAAGGAACAGACTTGAGCTGAACTAGTGCGGCATTGAAACTTGCACTCTTCTTCTTCAACGCAACTTTATATATTTGTTTCATCCTAACCGCCAAAAGTGCAACCTAATTCAGCTAAAGAGAACAAACTTGAGCTAAACTAATACGGCATTGAAACTTTAACTCTTCTTCTTCAACGCAACTTTCTATACTTGTTTCATCCTAACGACAAAAGTACAACCTAATTCAGCTAAAAAGAACAAACCTGAACTAAACTAGTACAACATTGAAACTTGGACTCTTCTTCAACGTAACTTTATACATTTATTTCATCCTAACGGTAAAAGGAGCAACCTAATTCAGCTAAAAAGAACAGACCTGAGCTAAACCATTAAAACTTGGACTCTTCTTCTTCAACGCAACTTTATATACTTGTTTCATCCTAACGGCAGAAAGTGCAACCTAATTCAGCTAAAAGGAACAGACTTGAGCTGAACTAGTGCGGCATTGAAACTTGGACTCTTCTTCAACGCAACTTTGTATACTTGTTTCTTCTTACTGGCAAGAAGTGTAACCTAATTCAGTTAAAAGCAACAAACTTGAGCTGAACTAGTGCGGTACTGAAACTTCGCGATCCTTCATCTTCATCGCAAATTTATAGACTTATCTTATCTTAACGGCAAGAAGTGCAACCTAACTCAGCTAAGAAGGACAGACCCGAGCTGAAGTAGTGTGACACTGAAACGATGCCTCGTCTTCAGCGCAAATTTATAGACTCGTTTGATTTTAACCGCAAAAAATGCTGCTCAGCTGAGAACGGAGCTCCCGAGTAACTAGGAGCGCGCCACGACGCGTCTTCGTCGCGGTTCAGCTCCGTGGATCCCGGGCTCTCCCGCTCGCTCGCTCGCTGGCCGTTGCATGTCGCTGGTCGGCCCTCCGGAGCGGCTCCGACGCGAGAGCGACGTCGCGACGACGTTATCGCGGCCCGGAGCGAGTCATGTGGCCGCGCTCGGCGAGGAGAACCCGTGGTGTCTTTACAATGCATCCGCACGCGGCGCATAAGCGACAATCGGACGTTTGTTTTCGCTACGGGAAACATCGGGAAGGCTCCCTCGGAAGCCGACGGATGCGACGCGCGCGCGATCGGAGGATCACGCGTGTCAAAGGGACAAAGGCTCGCGGCGAGCCTTGCGTGGATCTTGCAATGGGCGAACGCACCATGCACACATACAGATACACACACACACACACATACAGATACACACACACACACACACACACAGACACGGCTCGCGGACTTTCCGCGAAGACTGGAGATCGCCGTTCGACGTCGCTGCTCGCCGCCGTCATCGCCGAGTTCGCGGAGTGTGCGTCATCGTGATCGCGCGCGGCTGTTTGCCCGAGGCGACTCGATAAAACGATAAGAGATCGGTCGCGACGACGATGCCGAGCGAGCGAGGCGGCCAGGGCAGCCAGTGAGCAGGTGGATGAAAACACCGTGTCATACAAGGAGCGTCTTCTCGCTCGCTCGCTCGCCCGTGATACTCGGTGTCGAAGGTCGATCGCATTTTTCCGTAGAGAAGCTCGGCGGTCTCTTCGATCCGGAGTGCCCGCGCGTGGCGAGATGCGGAGACGGGAGGAGAGGAGAAAAGAGGAAAGGAAAGGAGCGGACAGAGAGAGAGAGAGAGAGAGAGAGAGAGAGAGAGAGAGAGAGAGAGAGAGAGAGAGAGAGAAAAAAAGAGAGAGAGAAAAGGAGAGAGACAGAGAGACGGGACGAGGTGAGGCGCGTCGTCGTCGACGATGACGACGACGGCGACGGTTTTTACGTACCTCTGCGATTGAAGGGCCGTACCCGTACGGCGACCTTTATTTTATCCGTAGCCATGACTTCTCTGCACACACCGGCGACGGCGAAGGCGCGCACACTCTCGTATCCCGTGTATCACCGTGACCGGGGAGAACACAACCGCTCGACGACGCAGTTTACGTGCACGATTACGTCGGACTCTCGCACGATACGCACGTCACCGCTACATTATTCTCAACCCATACCGCGAACTTGTCATCTTCTCAAACGACACTACGTCTCACCGTGCCCCCCGTGACACACTTCGCCATATTGCTGAAAGCCCGTCGTGCGCCAGACAAAACGACGGCCGTTCTATCGAGGCTATCGAGTGAGCCCGCGCTTCCGTCGAGCGCCGCCAGGGGCGCTCGCGCGGTTCGATAGGCGCGCGCGACGTCACACGCACGATGCAGCGCCGGTCGCATGGTGTCGTCACGTCGCGGCCGCGGCGGGAATTTCACCGCCGCGCGCTCGCTCTCGGTAGTTCGGTCGATCTTCTATCAGAGACCTCTCCTGGAAAATGGACAAAATAAGCAGATATTTCCCATTTTTCACCTTCCAAAATAGAGGCAGAATTGCTTTCGGCTCGTATCAGACTATGGATTGGGATTGAGACTGGATTGAAATTTGACCAATTGAAAAAAAGAAAATAATCTCAAATATAGTAAACTTAGCCGTGATTGGTTAAATTTCAATCCAATACTCAATCCCAATCCGTAATCTGATATGGGTTTTATAATTATGATATTTGTAATCAGGAGAAATGTACGTACGTTTTTTTTAGAGCTTAAAATAAGATTACTTGATTTATTAGAGCGAGAGTTGCACTTGGAGTGCAGCACATACAACGTTGTATTATTATTTATTACAAATTTTGAGGGGAATAATTGTAAAATCTAGCTTTGTACTGATCTCGGGAATAATGTAAGGAATGCTAAAATTGTGGCTGTAGTTTGACCCAATCTACATGCATTTGCGACCGCGAGAGCAATACATTGTAATAAATTTGATTGAATGCAGAGTTGTTAGATGCAATATATTACGACGCTACAGCGCATGCGTGAGATGACGTAGCACGCTGCTTGAGTAAAAGTCTCAGTATCATATATCTTTTAAGGTATTATAGCGCCCGTATTATACTATGCATTGAGAATTACAATCGAGTAAATTAGATAATCTAAATCGTGGTTATTTTAATTGATCCGATAGTAATTCTCAATCTACATTACAATTTTTCACCTAATAATGTCATTGTTACATAATGCAAGTATTATGTAATAATTACATAGTCGAGTGAGAAATTATAATGTTAATGTAACGTAACTTAAACCAACGGCACACGATGCTTGTTTTCGTGCTCGATTGCTTGCTGGATGAAAATACTGCGTTCTGATTGGTGCATTTCCATCCATCTTCGGAAATGCACCAATCAGAACGCAGTATTTTCATCCAGCAAGCAATCCAGCACAAAAACAAGCACCGTGTGCCGCTGGCTTTAGTATCCACAGGGGCTGTATTCCGTACTCGTGTACCAATAGTTGTCGGCGTCGTTAGCAGTATTGTGCAGCTTTTTTGTTATATGAAAAACCTGCGCAAACCTGCGCAAATGCCGCTAACCGACAACTGTCGATATGCAGGTACGGAATACAGCCCCTGTGATGCGATTCTTTAACTCATTATTGGAGTTAACGACAGTTTCGTTATCGTTGCGCAGCATTCTACGGTATACAAAAGCTGCACAACGATAACGAAAGTGTCGTTAACTCCAATAATGAGTTAAAGAATCGCGCTGTTGGACAACATAACCTGGGATAAGGCACTCGCGCAAGAAACGCGGGAAAACTATGCGGGTGAAGACAGCTGATCGGATAGCTCGGGCCCCTCCGTGGACCCTGAGATGCGCTTTATTGCCGTTATTGGCATATGATTTCGCAGAGTACGTCATCTCACGCATGCGCTATAGCGTCGCAATATTGTATTAAAGGTGCGTTCGAGGAGCTCACAGTTAGCACTATTTAGCGCTACCGCGTCAATCTGTCCTTGTTATATTTTTAAAGAGCGATAAAGATGGAACAATGCGGTAGCGTTGGTAACGCGCTTCCCGAACGCATTCCTAGCAACTATGATTGAATGCACCAGTGCGCACTAAAGCCAGCGGTACATACATGGTGCTTGCTTTTGTGATGAATTGCTTGATGGATGAAAATACTGTATTATGATTGGTAGATTTCCGAAGATGGATGGAAATGCACCAATCAGAACGCAATATTTTCATTCAGCAAGCAATTCAGCACGAAAACAAGCACCGAGTACCGCTGGCTTAAGAGCAAATTAGATTTATTCATAATATGTTCCATTATTTACAAATTTGTCTTAAATTCATTTACAAATCTTTTGTAGCTAACCAAAAGGTCAGTACAGTAATCAAATTTTATGAAGTTCGCAAATTTAACCAAATTTTCCTCCATTTTTAAACGAGTCATTTTCCATAAATTTTTAAAATTGCATTCGATACTATTCGTTGAAACAAAGAAAATGACAGTTTGCCTGTATTTTTCCATGCAAATGCTTGAAAATTAATGTAATGTGTTAAAAAATAAGAAAACAATTTTTTTCAGGCACTTTGGGTGATCGGAAAAATTCGGGCAAGGTGTTATTTTCTTTGTCTCGACAAGTGCTACCGAATGCAATTTTAGAAATTTACAAAAAATGAGTGATTTAGATTTTGTCTCATTTTACAGATTCTTTTTTGAAATTAGGCAAAATCTGAACCAGGCATTTTCCGTGAACTTTTAGAATTGCATTCCATAGTACTTGTCGAGACAAAGAAAATGATACTTCGCCCGACATTCTTCGACCGGGAGTGCTTGAAAATTAATGTACAGTTTCGGAACGCAGCCTTGTTCTCGCTGTAGGGTTAGGTTAGGGCTATGTCGTATACATCATGATATATTTGGCGGCAACTTGTGCGTCTTAAACTTGTAAGAAATTGAATGTATTTGATTCCCATTGTGATTGTACATAAACAGAGTACAAATAAAGCATTAACGTGATAATGTTTATAGATAATTGAAAAACTGGATATTTGAAAGAATTGTTAAAAATGATCGTCAACTTGGGAAAGATAATAAGCTGCTCCTCAGAACATCCGTCGTATCCTGCTGCTAATCTTCTTGAACGCAATTCAGAAAAATGGAAAGCCACATGGCGGTGCGCCAAGCCGGGGGAAATGCTCGCTCATGTTATCTTCGAGCTCTCTGAATCGTCATATATCACTGGAGTTGATATCGGGAATTTTCAGAGTTGTGTGGTAATTGTTACAGCGTCTACAGCATCTGAGCCTGACAACTGGATAGTCATAGTGAACCATAAATTTATGACAAACGACGAAGCCACGAATAATAAGTTTAAAGACCAGGTACAAATATTCACCAGGAGAGAATTGAATCCAGATACACTGAAAATAAAATTTGACCGCATCAAGGTTACCTGCATGCAGTCAGCCAATTTGAAAGTGCTGTTTGGATTGTCTTACATCATTTTACGATCAGACAATGTAGTTGATTTAGGCTTAGATATGTTTGGTAAATTTAAATTAAAGCAACTACACGTCATGAAGACACCCATGGAGATGATGAAGGAGAAACTCACTAAATCAGAAGATAAGAAAGCGGATTATAAGGAAGAGTTGCGCGATCAAATAAAGAAAAATTCAATAGAAAATTTCTCTAGATCTCAGGAGGATAAAAGGCCCATGAAGAGACCGTTACTAGATAAGCTAGAAGCTGGGAAGGCTGATGAAATTTTTGGAAAGAAAGATAAAACTCAGCCGCTAAAAGATAAAGATAAAACATCTCACAAAGAATCTAAAGATGCTGAAAATATATCAAACGAGAAAACAGTCATCAGAACTCCTTTTGGAGATATTGTGTCCTCAAAAGATACTGTTAAAACTGTTGTAAAAGATATTACTAAGAGTCCTTCAAATTCAAAGAAACGCCCCCTTAGTGAACTAGAGGATCCGCCAAATGCAAAATTCAGTGAAAAGAAGCAGCGGTGTGCAGAGTGCTGCAAAGAATCACAGGATCAACTGTGTAAGACCTGCCAACGATTATCGCAACCGATAACCACTGAAAGTACTACTTCAAAAATAAAACAAAGCACTCCTATAAGATGTAAAAAGCCATTTAAAGAGCTGTTTAGAGATGTTACTTTCTCGCTCAGTGGATATATTAATCCACAGAGAGATGAAATTAGAAGGAAAGCACTGAACATGGGCGCTAAGTACATACCTGACCCAAACATTACTAATAAAAAATGTACCCATTTAATTTGTGCCTTCAAAAATACACCAAAGTATCAACAGTTCAAAAATCACACAAAGATTGTCTCTCACACCTTTATTGAGGAATGTTTCGATAAGAAAAAAAGGTATATAATATCCTGTTGCTTTTTTCTTGTATAACATATGAAATCATAAAATTTTGTAACTCGTATACTGTCTTTGCAGATTTCCTTGGAGACGATATGCTCTAAATCAGAAGGATAAATCTCAGCCTGAAAGTGAAGAAGAAATTGATGGTAATCAGCCAGAATCTGTATATGATATGGACACTGACGCTGATTCTGATTCTAATTATTGATATATCAATTTGCAACATTAATTTTTCTTTAGAAATTCATTATATTTTGGTAATTGTATGGTCAGTCTAAATGGTTACCATCTGCAATTTTATTTTATCTGTGTATATATAATTTTCATTGTTTCAATATTTACATAAAATTGATAACATTGTTAAAAAATATGAATAGAAACTAAACATCTGTATATAAACATATGTACATACATAAGTTTGTATTTTACGCAGGCTACCTGTGGAATAATATCGAAGGTTAAAGTTTTCCAGCCATTCTCCGTCGATATCCAGCCTTCCTCCGTCGATATCTCCGCTTCTGCTGATAGTACAGAGTCGTCCATGTAGTCGAAAATGTAGGGTTTTGAGAGGACTTTAATTTGGTGCCAGAACCAGGCCTGTATCTCTAACCGTTTAGGAGATATCGAAGGTTAAAGTTTTCCAACATTTCTGCGTTGATATCTCCGCTTCTACTGGGAGTAGAGAGTCGCCACTTACGGCAAAATGTAGGGTTTTGAGAGGACTTTAATTTGGTGCCAGAACCAGGCCTGTATCTCTAACCGTTTAGGAGATATCGAAGTTTAAATTTTTCCAGCATTTCTCCGTCGATATCCAGCCTTCCTCCGTCGATATCTCCGCTTCTACTGGGAGTAGAGAGTCGTCCATGTAGTCGAAAATGTAGGGTTTTGAAAGGACTTTAATTTGGTGCCAGAACCAGGCCTGTACCTCTAACCGTTTAGGAGATATCTAAGGTTAAAGTTTTCCAACATTTCTGCGTTGATATCTCCGCTTCTACTGGGAGTAGAGAGTCGCCACATACGGCAAAACGTAGGGTTTTGGGAGGACTTTAATTTGGTGCCAGAACCAGGCCTGTATCTCGAACCGTTTAGGAGATATCGGAGTTTAAAGTTTACTAGCCTTTCTCCGTCGATATCCAGCCTTCCTCCGTCGATATCTCCGCTTCTACTGGGAGTAGAGAGTCGTCCTGTAGTCCAAAATGTAGGGTTTTGAAAGGGCTTTAATTTGATACCAGTCCGAAGCCTGTATCTCTAACCGTTTAGGAGATATCGAAGGTTAAAGTTTTCCAGCCTTTCTCTATCGATATCCAACCTTCATCCGTCAATATCTCCGCTTCTACTGGGAGTAGAGAGTCGTCCATGTAGTCCAAAATGTAGAGTTTTGAAAGGGCTTTAATTTGGTACCAGTCCGAAGCCTGTATCTCTAACCGTTTAGGAGATATCGAAGGTTAAAGTTTCCCAACCTTTCTCCGTCGATATCTCCGCTTCCACTGGGAGTAGAGTCGTCCATGTAGTCCAAAATGTAGGGTTTTGAAAGGGCTTTAATTTGGTACCTGTCCGAAGCCTGTATCTCTAACCGTTTAGGAGATATCGAAGGTTAAAGTTTTCCAACCTTTCTCCGTCGATATCTCCGCTTCTACTGGGAGTAGAGAGTCGTCCATGTAGTGCAAAATGTAGGGTTTTGAAAGGGCTTTAATTTGGTACCTGTCCGAAGCCTGTATCTCTAACCGTTTAGGAGATATCGAAGGTTAAAGTTTTCCAACCTTTTTCCGTCGATATCTCCGCTTCTACTGGGAGTAGAGAGTCGTCCATGTAGTGCAAAATGTAGGGTTTTGAAAGGGCTTTAATTTGGTACCTGTCCGAAGCCTGTATCTCTAACCGTTTAGGAGATATCGAAGGTTAAAATTTTCCAACCTTTTCCGTCGATATCCAGTCTTCATCCGTCGATATCTCCGCTTCTACTGGGAGTAGAGAGTCGTCCATGTAGTCCAAAATGTAGGGTTTTGAAAGGGCTTTAATTTGGTACCTGTCCGAAGCCTGTATCTCTAACCGTTTAGGAGATATCGAAGGTTAAAGTTTTCCAACCTTTCTCCGTCGATATCTCCGCTTCTACTGGGAGTAGAGAGTCGTCCATGTAGTGCAAAATATAGGGTTTTGAAAGGGCTTTAATTTGGTACCTGTCCGAAGCCTGTATCTCTAACCGTTTAGGAGATATCGAAGGTTAAAGTTTTCCAACCTTTCTCCGTCGATATCTCCGCTTCTACTGGGAGTAGAGAGTCGTCCATGTAGTCAAAATGTAGGGTTTTGAAAGGGCTTTAATTTGGTACCTGTCCGAAGCCTGTATCTCTAACCGTTTAGGAGATATCGAAGGTTAAAGTTTTCCAACGTTTCTTCGTCGATATCCAGTCTTCATCCGTCGATATCTCCGCTTCTACTGGGAGTAGAGAGTCGTCCATGTAGTCCAAAATGTAGGGTTTTGAAAGGGCTTTAATTTGGTACCTGTCCGAAGCCTGTATCTCTAACCGTTTAGGAGATATCGAAGGTTAAAGTTTTCCAACCTTTCTCCGTCGATATCTCCGCTTCTACTGGGAGTAGAGAGTCGTCCATGTAGTGCAAAATGTAGGGTTTTGAAAGGGCTTTAATTTGGTACCTGTCCGAAGCCTGTATCTCTAACCGTTTAGGAGATATCGAAGGTTAAAGTTTTCCAACCTTTCTCCGTCGTATCCAGTCTTCATCCGTCGATATCTCCGCTTCTACTGGGAGTAGAGAGTCGTCCATGTAGTCCAAAATGTAGGGTTTTGAAAGGGCTTTAATTTGGTACCTGTCCGAAGCCTGTATCTCTAACCGTTTAGGAGATATCGAAGGTTAAAGTTTTCCAACCTTTCTCCGTCGATATCCAGCTTCATCCGTCGATATCTCCGCTTCTACTGGGAGTAGAGAGTCGTCCATGTAGTCCAAAATGTAGGGTTTTGAAAGGGCTTTAATTTGGTACCTGTCCGAAGCCTGTATCTCTAACCGTTTAGGAGATATCGAAGGTTAAAGTTTTCCAACCTTTCTCCGTCGATATCCAGCTTCATCCGTCGATATCTCCGCTTCTACTGGGAGTAGAGAGTCGTCCATGTAGTCCAAAATGTAGGGTTTTGAAAGGGCTTTAATTTGGTACCTGTCCGAAGCCTGTATCTCTAACCGTTTAGGAGATATCGAAGGTTAAAGTTTTCCAACCTTTCTCCGTCGATATCTCCGCTTCTACTGGGAGTAGAGAGTCGTCCATGTAGTCCAAAATGTAGGGTTTTGAAAGGGCTTTAATTTGGTACCTGTCCGAAGCCTGTATCTCTAACCGTTTAGGAGATATCGAAGGTTAAAGTTTTCCAACCTTTCTCCGTCGATATCCAGCTTCATCCGTCGATATCTCCGCTTCTACTGGGAGTAGAGAGTCGTCCATGTAGTCCAAAATGTAGGGTTTTGAAAGGGCTTTAATTTGGTACCTGTCCGAAGCCTGTATCTCTAACCGTTTAGGAGATATCGAAGGTTAAAGTTTTCCAACCTTTCTCCGTCGATATCCAGCTTCATCCGTCGATATCTCCGCTTCTACTGGGAGTAGAGAGTCGTCCATGTAGTCCAAAATGTAGGGTTTTGAAAGGGCTTTAATTTGGTACCTGTCCGAAGCCTGTATCTCTAACCGTTTAGGAGATATCGAAGGTTAAAGTTTTCCAACCTTTCTCCGTCGATATCAGCTTCATCCGTCGATATCTCCGCTTCTACTGGGAGTAGAGAGTCGTCCATGTAGTCCAAAATGTAGGGTTTTGAAAGGGCTTTAATTTGGTACCTGTCCGAAGCCTGTATCTCTAACCGTTTAGGAGATATCGAAGGTTAAAGTTTTCCAACCTTTCTCCGTCGATATCCAGCTTCATCCGTCGATATCTCCGCTTCTACTGGGAGTAGAGAGTCGTCCATGTAGTCCAAAATGTAGGGTTTTGAAAGGGCTTTAATTTGGTACCTGTCCGAAGCCTGTATCTCTAACCGTTTAGGAGATATCGAAGGTTAAAGTTTTCCAACCTTTCTCCGTCGATATCCAGTGCTCATCCGTCGATATCTCCGCTTCTACTGGGAGTAGAGAGTCGTCCATGTAGTCCAAAATGTAGGGTTTTGAAAGGGCTTTAATTTGGTACCTGTCCGAAGCCTGTATCTCTAACCGTTTAGGAGATATCGAAGGTTAAAGTTTTCCAACCTTTCTCCGTCGATATCCAGCTTCGTCCGTCGATATCTCCGCTTCTACTGGGAGTAGAGGTCGTCCATGTAGTCCAAAATGTAGGGTTTTGAAAGGGCTTTAATTTGGTACCTGTCCGAAGCCTGTATCTCTAACCGTTTAGGAGATATCGAAGGTTAAAGTTTTCCAACCTTTCTCCGTCGATATCTCCGCTTCTACTGGGAGTAGAGAGTCGTCCATGTAGTCCAAAATGTAGGGTTTTGAAAGGGCTTTAATTTGGTACCTGTCCGAAGCCTGTATCTCTAACCGTTTAGGAGATATCGAAGGTTAAAGTTTTCCAACCTTTCTCCGTCGATATCCAGCCTTCATCCGTCGATATCTCCGCTTCTACTGGGAGTAGAGAGTCGTCCATGTAGTCCAAAATGTAGGGTTTTGAAAGGGCTTTAATTTGGTACCTGTCCGAAGCCTGTATCTCTAACCGTTTAGGAGATATCGAAGGTTAAAGTTTTCCAACCTTTCTCCGTCGATATCTCCGCTTCTACTGGGAGTAGAGAGTCGTCCATGTAGTCCAAAATGTAGGGTTTTGAAAGGGCTTTAATTTGGTACCTGTCCGAAGCCTGTATCTCTAACCGTTTAGGAGATATCGAAGGTTAAAGTTTTCCAACCTTTCTCCGTCGATATCCAGCTTCATCCGTCGATATCTCCGCTTCTACTGGGAGTAGAGAGTCGTCCATGTAGTCCAAAATGTAGGGTTTTGAAAGGGCTTTAATTTGGTACCTGTCCGAAGCCTGTATCTCTAACCGTTTAGGAGATATCGAAGGTTAAAGTTTTCCAACCTTTCTCCGTCGATATCTCCGCTTCTACTGGGAGTAGAGAGTCGTCCATGTAGTCCAAAATGTAGGGTTTTGAAAGGGCTTTAATTTGGTACCTGTCCGAAGCCTGTATCTCTAACCGTTTAGGAGATATCGAAGGTTAAAGTTTTCCAACCTTTCTCCGTCGATATCCAGCTTCATCCGTCGATATCTCCGCTTCTACTGGGAGTAGAGAGTCGTCCATGTAGTCCAAAATGTAGGGTTTTGAAAGGGCTTTAATTTGGTACCTGT